GGGGGGGGGTTGGGCCAGCCCCTCCCTCTCAGTCCAGTAGCAAAGGGGGTCCCAGTGGAGATGGGGACAGACTGGGAGGTGAGAGGTCCAGGTTACAGGCATCCTCCAGTTAAAATCATTAGTGATGGTTTGAAGTTACAACAACACTGAAAAGGGGGGCTGGCGACTCTTTTTCACACTTACGACCGTCCATGGTCACATGATGGAAATTCAGGTGCTTGGTGACTGACTCGTATTTACGATGGCTGCAGTGTCCCGGGGTCACGGGATTACCTTTTGCGACCTTCGGACAAACACAGTCAATGTGGGGAGCCCGATTCACTTAACTGTGTTTAATAATGATAATAATAGTAATAATATCTGTAATACCATCAAACATCCACATCTGCCTATCCCAGGTCTTTGGTAAGGTAGACAGAATGCCAAATCCAGTCTGAACATCTGGCTGACTGCAATGATCCTCAATAATAATAATAATAATAATAATAATAATAATAATAAAGTTGGAAGGGACCTTGGAGGTCATCCAGTCCAACCCCCTGCTCAGGCAGGAAGCCCTATATCATTTATGACAAATGGCTGTCCAGTCTCTTCTTAAAAACTTGCAGTGTTGGCGCATTCACCACTTCTGGAGGCAGGTAGTTCCACTGGTTAATTGTTCTAACTGTCAGGAAGTTTCTCCTTAGTTCTAGGTTGCTTCTCTCCTTGATTAGTTTCCATCCGTTGCTTCTTGTCCTGCCTTCAGGCGCCTTGGAGAATAGCTTGACTCCCTCTTCTTTGGGGCAGCCCCTGAGATATTGGAACACTGCTATCATGTCCCCCCTCGTCCTTCTCTTCATTAAACGAGGCATACCCAATTCCAGCAACCGTTCCTTGTATGTTTTAGCCTCCAGTCCCCTAATCATCTGTTGCTCTTCTCTGCACTCTTTCTAGTGTCTCAACCTCTTTTTTACATCGCGGGGACCAAAACTGGATGCAGTATTTCAAGTGTGGCCTTAACTGCAGTGATTCACTTAAGAACAGTGATAAAGGGTTGTAAAATGGGGTGTCTTGCTTAGCAAGGGACATTTTGGGACTCGGTGGCAGTCATAAGCTGTAGTCCAGCCGCAGTGCTAGAAGGCAGGGGGGTGTGCAGAGAGGAGGAGGAGGAAGAAGAAGAAGACTGGGGTCCTTTTTCTGCCTCTTTCTCCTTTTCCTCCTCCATGCCAACCCCACGGCCATCCTAACGCTGATGATGTTCCCTAGTTGGGTAATGAAATGTCTGCGCTCAAACCAGAAACCCCGTAGCTTTACTTTCTTCATCTGAGCTCACTGTTTCAACCTCCATCTGACTGGAAGTTTCCCTCCTGCCCTTGGGATGGGATTTAGGCCCCGGCGGAGGCAGAAGCCACATGTGCCGTCCTGGTGAAATCTGGCCACGCCTGGTGTGCAGCCACGGAAGACATGGACGCCCTCCCCTTTGGGGCCGTGCGCCTCCTGCGGCACCTAAGCATGAAGAAGAGGTGAGTGTTACGGGCGGGGGACCATAAAACTAGTTGCAAGTGTTGAGATCGGGCTGTCCAACCTTGGCAGCTTTTAAGACCTGTGGACTTCAACTCCCAGAATTCCCTAGCCAGCATAGTTCCCTCACGCTGGCTGAGGGATTCTGGGAGTTGAAGTCCACAAGTCATCAAAGGGTCTTAGTTCCCTCATGCTGGCTGAGGGATTCTGGGAGTTGAAGTCCACAAGTCATCAAAGGGTCATAGTTCCCTCACGCTGGCTGAGG